CACTTTCTTCCTTTTCTGGCCCAATAACATCCCAGACTCTTCAGGCTTTGCTGCTGTTGACAACCAACACACACAGCCTGTCCTTCAGAGTCAACAATTGCTACACAGCGACTCAGTGACATCTCGTGCAGCCACTTTCACCCCCTTTCCGAATTGTCCCTTCCCTGTTGACATAGGCACTGCGTCTCCAAGTTTCCTGCCTTCTGGATTTCCTTTCAGTCTCTTGAGTTGCCGTGCTCACTTTGATCCCATAGAAAGCGTTCTTAAAGGAGCGATCTGCTCAGCGCAGACAGGTTTTCCTAGTGAAGTTAAACTGTTGTTTGGTTTAATGAAGACTTCAGGGAATAGTTTTGGTTTGAGGTTTAAAGATGAGTGCAGGGCAGTAGTTTCAGGGCTTCCACCAACCTATATGTGTCCTTAAGAAGTTGAGTCCAGGAGAATTAGAAATTCCTTTCTGCGTTCCTTCACACACACCCCTCCTTTCATCATAATTCTTCTCTAGAATCTTTGATCAAAATGGAACTGTGTTGACTTGGTGGGTGTTCTGTATAAGAACCTCTAAATTGTTGTAGCCATTGGAATGGTGATGTGATGTAGATCTTACAGGACCTGTGAGAAAGCTTTGTCAGTCGCCCAAAGGGCATACCACTCTGCTGTGAGCCTCAGCCTGAGGGCATTCAGTTTAAGCTCTGTGGGTTAGCAAACCCAGCTCCCTGATTAAATGCCCAGAGCCACCCCACTCTGCAAGCCAGCCTCCTGCACAAAAGCACTCATCTGATACTTGCTCCTTGGGCTGACACAATTCCTCCCTGCCTGTAGCGCTGGGTCCTGGTTCTGCTGCTCCTCAGATGGTCCAGGAGGCTCACTCACTGCACAGGGATCTTGGGGTCCAAAGGATGTGCTCCACTCCTGGCTCTTGCTGAGAATGAGACCCCTTCTCCTGCTTCTCAGAGGTTTCATTTTATACATGACAGGATGACATTCCCAGGAATCCTGTTCACAATTACTAATCCTATTAGTATTTCCCCCACCTTCTTACTAGACCCATGCAGAAAAAGGTCATTTGGTGGGAGTTAGAGACTTTGGCTAGAAGAACCACATCAAATAATTGACTGCCCCTGCAGGTCTGTAATGGTAGCCAAGCACCATCTAGCTCTTCTGGTCTCGTGACAAAGGAGGCAGTTACTCGTGGACGCAGCAGCTAGCCCGCGCATCCTAAGTAGCCGTCACCCATTCCTGACTCCCCTCTTGCTTCCATTACTTCAGGAGAATGGAGACCAATTATTTTTCCTTTTTCTTTTTTTAAATCATTTTATTGGGGCCTTATACAACTCTTACACAATCCATACATCCAACCATTGTGTCAAGCACATTGTACATTTGTTGCCATCATCATTTTCCTTGGTATCAGCTCCTCATTTTCCCCCTGCCTCCCCATCCCTCCCGAACCCCTGATAATTTGTTTTTGGGTTTTTTTTCATGTCCTACACTGACCAATGTCTCCCTTCACCCACTTTTCTGTTTTCCTTTCCCCAGGGAGGGGGGTTATATGTAGATTGTTGTGATCAGTTTCCCCCTTTTCCTTACCCTCTTGGTATCACTACTCATTATTGGCCCTGAGGGTGGAAACCAATTCTTGTCCCTTGACAACCGCTTGCTAGCTCTCAGTCCACAGACACCATGCAACAAACAGACTAGGAGGTAGAACAAACGCATTAAACATATTATTACCTCAGTGAACTGGAATGACCCTAACCCTTCAAACCAAGACCCCAAATTCTGTGAGGCACTCTTGTACAGGGAAGCCTCAGCAGCTGCTCTGATGAAGCCACGCGGGCTCATGTGGCCCTGTAGGACAGGGTAGAAGTGCCCCTGTGAGTGTCTGCGACTGGTTGTTGATGGGAGTCGGACGGCTCATTTTCCTCCTGCGGAGCAGCCCTTCTGATCATAGCCCGATGTGTAACGTCACCACTATGCCACGGGGTGCCTGGCGGGTGATAGACCATCACAGAGTTGTCCACTAGTTCAGTGGTTCACGGATGTGCCACGGCCCCATTGTTGAAAGCAGCCGTTTCTCCAATGACTGTTTAGTGAGCAGTGGTCACCGAGATCTGGGGGCTCCGTGGGCTCCTTGTCCTCCATGTGCCATTGCTGTGGGGTCCTCTCAGAGGGTATCCCCGTCTAACCTCTGTGCATGTTTCAGTCTGTGTGTGTGTGTGTGCATAAATCCTGCTCTATATATGGACAATAACAAGCTCACACCAATATCTCCACCAGGTTTATTCTTTCTTAAAACTCTCTCAATAGCCTTATTTCTTACTTATAATTCTCTTCTCTAAAACCGCTTTTCCCCAAATGAAAAACAAACAAAAAAAACCCAAACTCACTGCCCTGAAGTAATTTCGGACTTTCAACACCCCTGTAGGGGCCCCACTGCCCCTCTGAGTTTTCCAAACTATGACCACAGGAGAGAAAACCTGGCTTCCCCAAATTCTGACCATCTAGCCCTGAATGCCACCACCAGTCTTCAGCTTGCTCCACCCCGATGGCCAGGCCACCTGTTTTCTCTCCCTCTTCCCTGTGTTTGAATCCCAACAAATGGCTTTGGGATTGGATTTTTCAGAAGGAAAAAAGGAAAATAATTTTCTTCATATTTTTTACTTCTGATTGTGTGTGTGTCCACATATAATGCCCCTTGTTCTTGTGTGGAGTAGAAAACAAATGATTTTATTTCAAGTAGAACCCAGATAATGACATTTTTCAAGAGGATTTGATTTCGACCAGGTCTCCACTACTCTTCTGGCCCTAGCGCTTGTGCAAGTCCCTCCTGCACAGCCTAGGCGGGCAGGCACCCACGCCCTGGCCTGGCGTTTCCTCTCATCTCGTGATTTACTGTTTGATTGTCCTCCAGCATCCTCCTCAGTGAAGTCATTCCTCTGCTGATACACATTTGGCTTTCAGTTGGTCTTGGCTGGCTGTTAGAAGGCGCTCATTCGTGCTCGCTTGGCTAGGTATTTCTGTAATGAAGAGCCAGTCAGAGTGGAAGAGCTGGGATGGAGCGAGGTCTTTAAGAGCTTTGCTCCCTCTTCCCTCAGACATCCTAGTCGTCTTGGGTCCCAAGCGCCCAGAGGAGCACTCGGGAAGTGCCAGTGAGTGTTTATTGGATTGCGATGGGCTCCAGCTTCTTTCAATGAGCAGTAGATCTCACATGATGAAATCTCTCTGAGACGTGACTTAGAGCCCACATGTTTGATTTGTCAGCATCTTTGCCTTTGCTCTCCCCCACCCCCAACAGAAGCTGGTCTTCTGCCCCATGAAGGAAGCCCTGGAGGTGGACTGGCGCAGTGAGAAAGCCAAAGCAGCCCTGAAGCGCACCACGTCGGATTACTTTCTCCTCCAAGGTGAGGGATGGGGCTGAAGAGCAAGGGTGGTTTTTGTGGGGGTTTTTTTTTTTTTTTTGCTGTTGGCCTTGCGTTCTCTCTCGTGTAACGTCAGAGTAGGGGGAGACCCATCATTTAGTCTCTGTGGTTTCTTAATGACTTTGCTTTGGCTTTCTTACTTTTGTTTTTTTTTTTTGATGAATTGAACAGCTCAGCTCTCTGAAGTAGAGCTGTAGATAACAATGTCATAAACCAAGCAGCTTCTCGGCACCCCCGTTCCCTCGTCACAGCTCTTTCCTGACCTCAAAACCAGTCAGACTCAGGATCCTAAGAAGGGGGGTGGTGGATTCTTTTGTTTATCTTCTTTCCCTTATTACTGAGCTTTCTTTCAGCCCTTTCTTGCTGTTACCCAGGGCACTGGCTAAGGAACTGGTTGGCTTCGTGGTGTTCTTCCTGTACCTGGCACTTTTTAGTGAAAAAATAAATATATTTGTGAATTAAGTATGCATTTCACAAAATATTTTTCATGAATAATGAGAGTGACCATTAATTGGGCGCCCAACATGAGCCATTGGGGTGGGTGCTAATAGTATTCCTGCTTCACCAACAGAGACCCAGGTGCAGTTAGGTTAAGGTGAGGCATGTTCTCCAAATTACACAGCACCTCTTCAAACCTGAAATGCAAGTAACAGCTTGTCACAAAAATTAATGACTATCACCTGCAAGGGAGCCCTGGTGGCATAGTGGTTACATGTTGGGCAGCTGAGCACAGGTCAGCAGTTCAAAACTACCAGCCGCAGTGCCAGAGAAAGGCAGGCTTTCTATGCCCACAAAGAGTTGCAGTCTCGGAAACTCAACGAGGGCATCCTCCCCTGTCCTTATTAAGGTCGCTGTGAATTAGAATTGACTCGATGGCAGTGAGTTTTGGGTGACCCTCAAGTACTGCACTCCTTTTACAAACTAACCCATATGAGACCCAACGGTCCACCATGATTTCAGAAACAAGATGAAAAGGTCGGGCCAGATAAAGGGGTGAATGGGAATCGAATCATCAGAACAGAATGATGGGCACGTTCTCCCATATGGAAGAACGCCGCCATTGTGGCTGAGCAACTTGTGTAGAAATTGTTGAGTGGGAGCCTAGACTGCTATGTAGACCTTGCCCCCAACACGGCAAAGTATTATCAAAAGACGAAAAAACATCCCCCTGCAAGCAAAGCACTATCAGTTGCATAGTGAAAATAATAATTCATATTTATTGCAAGAAATACAGAGCCCTGGTAGCACGTGAGGTAAGCATTGGACTGCTCACCTCAAGATCAGCAGTTCACATGCACCAGTTGTTCTGTTAGCGAAAAGGAGGGTATAGCCTCTGACACTGCCCCTGCCTCTCTCCCCCCACCACCTCAAAAAAACAACAGGGTTGCTGTGAGTCAGGATGATGGTTGCTTTTATAGGAAATGCAGAGAAGCCCCACCCGTGGGGTGGGAATCCCCTTCGTGGGATTCACTATTGTGGGATTCCCTTTGTGGGATTCACTATTCCAGCGGAAGTGCTTTCCCAGGTCCCCCGCTTGCACAGCACCACAGGGACACGGTGTGCTGGAGCCCCTGCTCCCACTCCCAGAGCTGAGAGATTCAGAACCCCACCTCACTCTGAGCCCATCCCAAGAAGACTGCTAGGTTGAGAGGGGTGGCTTCCATTTCTAAGTTAGCCCGACATCTGCTTGCATTTGAACAAACTGTAACCCCCCCCTCTCCAGAGCTGCAGCCCCACCTCTGCCCCTTTGCCCGTGCTCACTCCAGACACGCTGGCTGTGTGTGTGGCTTCAAACCCTCTCTCCGGCCCCGAGCACCGGCTGCAGTGACTCAAAGGGAAACATGAACTGGAACGTGAGGAGTGTACCAGAGGCAAGGCCCCTGGGAGCCTGGTTAGCTTTCTGGGAGTTTCCCAGCTAGTACAAACTTGGTTGACTACTGGAACTGTAGTTATTGCAGGAAAGGGGCTCTCAAATCTCTGGCTGGGTCATTGCGAACCACTCAGAAGCTTGGGTTCCCAAGGTTGAACCGCCTCTGTAGATCCCTTCCTTCCCACCGACAGCAGTGCTCTGGTGTCTGCCTGGCCGGTCACGTAACTGAGAGGCTCCTGTGACTTGAACTCGTGGGGTTTGCTTCCACCTGTGAGGAATTTACCACCTGTGCTTGCCATCAACTTGGCTGTGTCATGCTTCTCCAGATTATGTAATTAACTCTCTTTTGTGATCGGATGTAATTATTTAGTGTGTCATGAATCTTTAAGAAGCGGCAAAGCCCTTGGGTTAAAAAGGCAAGATGTAGTCTACAGGCTTAGGTTGTCTCTTGGGTCTCTCTCTTGAGATAGGAAAGATTCCACAGTCAAGCAGAGATCAGGAGGACCTGACTGTCACCACGCGAGACGACCTGGGAGTGGAGAGGCTCCTAAACCCAGAGGAAGAAGGATACCAAGACACCTGCAGAGATTTTAGGGAGACGGGCCCACGTGTCTTAAAAGGAGGCAGAAAGTTTCCCAAAGTGGATGGAAAAAGCCTTCCCCAAGTTTGAACTTTCATTCCACCTTCCTAAACTGTGAGAATGCATTGCTGTGTGTTAAAGCCCCCACGTGCGATAGCAACAGTAGGCAACTCAAATCAGGACTGCACCTGGTGATGGATGCTTTAGCACCCAGGTACGTACCGTGATGCAGGCCAGGTGTTTCCACAGTCACTTGGCGTACGCTCCAAATAGACGGCGGATAGGGAAGAGTGGAGAAAATGGAAGCACTTGCATCGCAGTGTCAGCCATGCTTGTGGGATGTTGCCAGAAGAAGGAGCGAGTCTGCGTGTCTTGGGCGGGCAGCCAGAATGCTCATGGCAAGGAAGATGGCAAGACTTCGTTTCACGTTCTTCGGACGTGTTGTCAGGAGAGATCTGTCCCTGGGGGAGACCTTGCTTGAAGCAGAAGCTCAGCAAAACAGAGGAAACCCCTCAGTGAGGGAACTTGGCACAGTGGCTTCAAGCACCGCAGTGATTGTGAGGAAAGTGCAGGACCAGGTGATGTTCGGTCTCTGAATTGGACTGGACCCACAGCCCCTAACAACAGTAACGGCGTGCTTGGTTATAATGTTTACCTGTCCCAAAACCCAGCCCACAAAAATCCTGACTAGGTTTCACTATTGCCTGATTAAAGCACCTAGTAGGTTCTCAATCACTGTTTTAGGTATGAATCACTGGTTACTGTTTGTCTGGTAACTAACTCCACTCTGGGTGTGTGCACACGCTCACACAGACACACGCCCAGCTAACTTCAGATTCCAGGGTCTGATGGCTTTGGGTTGTCATTCATGTAGAAACGGTTCTAATGGCCCCATTCACAGTCAGAGTCTCCAAGGAAGCAGCTGCCCCATCTTCCATGTGCAGGCGTTTGGCCTTGTTTGCGTGTTGGGTGTTTTTCCAGTTCATTTAATAAGAGTGGCCAGACTGAGCACTCGGTGCTGCATTTTTCCACTATCTTGAAGGTTGGCCTTGCCATCTGTGCACAAAGGGCCCCGTCTTTTTATTATTCTCCGATGGCATGTTGCAAAACATGAAGCATGAGCTGGTTTCCTGTGGCAAAAAAATAGACTTTGATTTGTTCCTTTTGAGGTTACTGGGAGTTTATCATAACAGGAGGGCTAAAAATACCAGGTCCAGTATGGAAACAGCATTCAGTTACCAGCGTGAACAATAACACGCAGCGTCAGCCCCAAGCAGGAAGAAATGGACTTCATCTCAAGATGGGGATTGCTTGTCAGCGGATCCTTGGCAATACCCACTTTCTTGATCTGGTTATGGAAAGCTACTTAGGCTGTTCTCAGGCCCCAGAATTAAAGTTGAGCATCATCGTAGCCCGGACGTGCTGTGAATACCTGCTGTGTGCCAGATCTCATGCCTGGGGACCATGTGCTGAATAAGATGTCTCCGTGCCAGTGGAAAAATTGAACACAAATCTTTGGTTGTGAGGAGAGCTGTAACGGGGGCTGTAGAAAACACTGGGGTGTCTCTGCCTTCTGAAGTATGTCTGGATTGTTCCCGAGTGATCAAAAGCCAACTGTTACGGGATGGAGGACCTGGCCACCTCGGGGGATTACGGAGCCTTTGGTGGGGTTCAGAGCAGACAAGCCTTTGCTAGGCGAGGGCAATTCAGACAGAAGAGTAGGAGGCAGGTCTCTAGGGGCCAGCTTTTTGGGCTAATGGATTTGGCTTTTATTCTGGAAAGTTCGTAGTTCCCTAAGTGGTATAATCTAAGAACCCCTCAGGGAACATTTTGGAAAGCACAGATCTCTGGTTCCGAGCTTAAGTTTACTGATTCAGAAGAACTACCAGGGCTACAGGGCTGGCAACTGTGAGTGGTTTTGTAAAGATCCCCTGGGTTTCTGAAGAATCTGCCAGGGGAGGGAAAACCCAGACCCTGGTGCAAAGGCCTCTACTCGGACATGGATTGGCTTGGGGTTGTGTTTTCTTAAAAGAGCACAGTGCTGGAGGCAGATGTTCTTAACTAGATTAGCAAAATTGTTTGGTTTTGAGAAGGCTTGGTGGTGGTGGGAGGGGGTATATTTGGTTTAAGGTTAGATGATCTTGGGGCAATGGTTTGAGGGGTTCCTCCAGCCTCCATGGCTCCAGAAAATCAAGAGTCCAGGAAAATTTGAGATTTTGTTGTGCATTTGCATCCTTTTGATCAGGATTCCTCTGTAGACTCATTGATCGCCATGTTGAGTGTCCTTATATATTTTTTTATTTTAAATGAGTAACTTAATGACTCTGAGGTAGAGGAAAAGGGAAATAACCCAGATTTGCTCATGAGCGCAGGATTTAGACATGACCTCAAACTAAGGACAAAAAGAACTGTAAACAAATATTTAATTCTAGTTAATAAGTGTGTTTTTCAGAGTGGTTACGAGTTAGTAATGCTGAAGCAGTTACTGTTTATTCTAGGATTAAGCAATAGGCAAACATCTCCAGGATCATG